CCACCCTATGATTGTTTTATGGTTTTATGTTTCTGTTGGTTCATATTGATTCCTCTCTTCTAGTTGCTATAAAAAGAGAAAACGCGTTTGAAATCATCAATATTTGAGCGTGCCGATAGCTTTAATGTTTACCTCAGGACTGCAGACATTAACACTGTGTCGACAATGAAAGGCTCGCCCTGAATTCTCCAGCGACAATGTTCAGGATAGGAAAGTCCCATTGATAACTAGTCAAGCGACATCGATATAAAACATCTCGGAAAGAGTGCTTTTCAATACGAGAATCAGACTGTCTTCCCTACATTTTGAATATTTTTTAACAAGCTGAACATAAAGGAGCTTGCATACTCACAGAGATTTAGATAGATTACGAGCTTGCATTTCAAGTTTTATGTGAAAAAAGAAAGGCGAAATATTTCGACATGCCACAAGACATTTCAGCTGCCAGACTATAATAAAAACTGGGGGAAATTGCACTTTTGTAATTAATTGTACTTGCAGATACTTTGCCATCGATACCATTTAAATAATTTCAGTGTCGGGCTGCTTCAACCCTGTCTGTCTGGGCTAGCCCAAGCTGAGAGAAATACAACGTCAGGCAGTCGCAGATAGATCTACTTGATTTTAAAAGTCCCCCCCCCCACCCCCCAAATAATACACGTGAATCGATCTCACTTCTGCGTGCGACATCGAAGCGCCTAACCACTACTCCACAGACGCCAATAATATAATGGAAACCGTAGTCAGGGCAAAACCACAGAATTCTACACTTATAGAACGGGCACTGTACCGCGTGACCTGTGAGGAATTGAAGACCGAAAACAATGGCGTCTTGAGGGCAAGATCTATCGTTTTCGGAAGTAACCCTATAGCTTTTAAGGGGGGGGGGGGCTACACCTGGAGGCTATCTCGCTTGTTACTGGACCGAATTTTACCAAATTTCACACATATAACAAGCATAGTAAGGACTCTTAAAATCCGCATTCAAATTTGAGTAAAAAGTTTCGCTTCCATGGATACGCCGCCATATTGGATTTTATACATGTCTTACGTAATGAATACCGCACTTATCGATAATGGAAATTGATTGGGTTTTTTGCAAGCGTGTTCACAAACATAAGATCTAAAAATTTGTCCGTTGTTTTTTCTTAATCGAATTAGAAAAATTTTAATGAATTTTTTCCTGAGGTAGCATTCAAGTTTGCGAAAAATCCGTGAAATTCCACATTCCAGACACCAC